AATGTTGAATGAATGTTGTAAAGAGCCTAAATGGTGGAAAAAACACAAAGTTCTTATTTTGGTATCAGATACACAGGTGGCAGTTCATGCACTCATTTTTTTTTTTTAAGTTGTAGATGGGCACAATACCTTTATTTTGTTTGTTTATTTTCATGTGGTGCTGAGGATCGAACCCAGTGCCTCACACATGTGAGGCACACACTCTACCCCGAGCCACAACCCCAGCCCCTCATGCACTCATTTTGACCAATGACAATCAAAAGAGCACAGTTAACATTCAATTGGTTCAAAAGCATGTATTGACCATTTAGGAACAACTGTGAATGAATTAATGTCCTGGTGAGGAATTGAAATGATATATCCTTGCTTGATACCATGAATAAGTAAATTGTGTGAAGGACAATATATCCTCCTCCTTCTGGACTCGAAAAGATATTTCAGTTAAAAGTAAGAATAGAAATGAATAAATAGAGAACTTAACTAGTAAGAATCAGAGCAGGGGCCTTTCTCTTTTATTCTCCTGACTTTTTAGTTTTCTTTTGAATGATTGTTCCTAAATTTTGAAATACCATGCAGCCACCTAGTGCCCAGATATTGATTGTCCAAGACAATAGGATAAAAACCTAGTTTGACTACTTTCATTTACCAAAACACTATCCTGAGAAAATAATACCCAAAAGTTTAGAGTTCTCTAAGGTTTATTCAATAATACTACTCTGTTGTTCATGGATTGGTAGTGCCATTTATTTTGGACGTGGTTATTTGGCAATTGATAGAGCATAGCTTCATATACTTTACACAAGCAGAAATGTATTAATATGGTTCATAGCAAGAAATATGTGATCAGCCACCTTGAAACTGGTCAAAGACATTCATATATGACCTGTCAGCAGGACCAAATCATAATGTCACACCCCATTGGGTTATTTTCCACCTTTCTCTTAGATAACAAAACAGAGCAAAAATCAATACAAAATAGACCTATTTTAATTATGTATTTTTAAAGGAGGATAAAAGAGAAAATACACTTAATTGCATGTTTACTTGAGTTTTTAAAGTAAGCTGGTTTAATACTTGTACTTGCATTCTAACTTTGCATATAAGATGCCACAACAAAATCTATTTCAAGTCTTCCAGTCAGAGGGTATGAACAGCAAAGCAAAATAACATTAATATAACATACACTATGGTATACACTTGTACCATATTCACTCATGCATTCATTAATTTGCTAGTTGGTACATATCCTCATTTTGTCGACAACTCAGCAACAATAAAATATATAATTTTGTTCTAGGCAGTCTTTTAGGCACTATAGATATGATGAAACTATAAAGTTTCTTCTCAAAACAGGTCATAATCTATTGCTATTGAAAGTACCAACCAAATCATTTAAATTTCTGGAAAAAGTAACAAAATAAAATTTCACTTGGTTTCACTTTCAGTATTAAAAAGCCTTCAAATGATGGGTATATTTTTGTGGGTTGTCATGTAAGTAAAGGTATGATGTAGTGTGAACGCAATTAGCAAACCCTGGCATACAAACTACAAAGAGTTAGAACCTTTTTAAGTTGAATAAAAGAGGTTGAAAGCATTTGAGTAGGAAGTTGGTTTAATGATTTCTCTTATCTTGAGAAATACAATGTGAAATATATATTTTTTAACTACTCAAGGATTAGTAATATCACTGATGAACATTTGGATAAACCCTTTTAGTAAATTTGCACAATATTTAAGTTCTCTTCTGCAAATGAAATACTGGTTGAAGTATTTATTAGAGTAAAAGTATTTCCAATATAAACAGAATGTTGATAGCTTCACTAATGCGGTATATACTTAACCCCATGTGATTTTGTAATTGTCATATATGTAACATATTTTAGGTTATAAACACTGTCAAGTAGTTTTGAAAAATAAAACTAGCTTTTCACAGGGTAATATTAAGTTAGATCTGAAACTGAAGAAAGTCCAGTTGCTCAGAAGAAATTTAATGTACAGATTCTAATATTTCAATTTCTTTGCTTTATATCTCTAATAATATATTAATACTATACACTTTGAAGTTACTGCAATGAGACTACTTCATAAGGGTTACTGTAACACAATATTGTAGTACTACAGAAGTCAACCTGATATTCAGGATAACTGCTTAGTGACTTAACAAGTGAACAGAGTATAGAGCATGGATAAACTGGAGAAAGGGATGATTTACTTCCCAGGCAGAATGCACACAATGGCTCAAGATTTCATCATGCTACTCAGAATGGCATGTTATTTATAATGTATGAATTGCTTATTTCTGGAATATTACATTTAATATTTTTGGACCATGGCTGACAGAGAAGAACTGAATCCATAAAAAGCAAAACACACATAAGTTTACGATTATTGAACTTGAACATATACCTGGTAAAACTATTGAACTTGCACATATTACCTGGTAAAACTATAACTTGCTATATTCTCTGGAGGGAACATAGGTTACCAAAACTAATAAAGACAGAAATACTTTTACCTAGACATTTCACCAATGGAAATATATTTCATGGAGGTAGATATTTGTGCAGAGCTTTAGCTACTAGGAAGTTTACTGCAATATAACATAAAATGCTTTTTGTGAACATTACATATTGGTTAAATAACATTTGATCACCTAGTTATATTATTATTTGTATCACATATACAATATTTGACAGGTATTAAATTATAAAAAATGTACTTAACAAGGACAAATGTTTGTTATGTATTGTTAACTAAATGAAATCAGATTGCACAATAGTACTAACATGGTCTTATTTTCTAAGTGTAAGTGTTTATATGCATCAACCTTGAAAAGAAGAGTCTAGTCATGTTTATGCTAAATACCTCTTAATATGTAAGGGAACTTTCTCATTTTTGGTTTTTGCCTATATCTTTTTTTCTCTCTAATAATTGTGAATTGTTAATATAATAATATTTTTAATATTCCAAAGAATTTTGATTTTTTATTCATTCTCCTATAACAAGCAGAATAGGTATTCCAGCTGGGTGTGATAGTATACACCTGTCATCCCAGTGGCTTAGGAGGCCGAGGCAGGAGGATCGCAAGTTCAAAGTCAGCCTCAGCTTAGCAAGACCATGTCTCAAAAAATAAAAGGGTTCAGTGATGAAGCACTGCGGATTCAATCCCTACTACTCTCCCTCTTCAAAAAAGTATAGCTATTTCAGCATGTAATATCAGAAGCCCTCCCTAAAGATTTAAGTGGTGAGGATGGTGAGGATTTGAAGAGTAACTTAAATCTGGACCTCATCATATTCACTCATTCCTTGTTTCTTTTTTTCCCCCTTTTTCATTCTTCCTCTCCTTCTTAATTATTTCCTTTCCTCCATTAAAATACTGAGGGGAAGACAATAACAGAAATCTGATCTAAGTGGCTTATTATTGAAGGCAAATATGAGTCAGTTATACTTTACTTAGGTTCTCCATGGTAGTTTTTGTTATAAAAATTATTATTTATTGCACCCAAAATTGTAATGTATGGGACATTTTTAAAGGAGTAGGACAGATACCATTAAAGTGGTATACTTATATTCTATATTAGATTCTTTTCAAATTATTTCCTTTTGTAGTTAAGGTCATTGTGTATGTAAAAATATGTTTTATTATTCCTAGTATATGTACATTTAAGTATGTTTTCAGGGCTCTATTTTCTTCAACAGCTGCTGTGCCTCACCTATACCTACTCGTGCATTTTCTTATTTAGCAATACTCTTGAATGCTCACTATATGCTTTTAAATGCAAGTGGTACAATGATGGAGAAGATAAGGGTGACCTCTGCCCTCAAGGAAGGGTCTAGCCAGGGACACAGCTACTGTGCTTAGTCCACTGCAAATCTCAATAAGCAGTAAAAGCAATAATTGGGAAGTGAAGTACAGATACTAACGAAAGTCACACAATAACCACCTACTGTCTATTCTCAATATGACCCTTAGTCTTACTTTCATTTATTCCTTTAATGCTCCTTAATTACTTTTCCTCTCTCAAGGGAAACAAATAGAATCAGCAAATCATGATTACTGTTCCTTACAATCAGGTAGGTTACACTAAGAGGCATAACAAAAATAAAATCAATTTAACAAGCTAAGATAAAGAGAACTTTGGATGGTGTCAAGTTCATCTGTCCCATTATACTTATGTATTGTGTACTTACTAAAGAACAGAAGGGAATCTTTACATTAAATATTTCCAAAGGCAGTAACCAGGGGCTATTTCCAAAATGTTTAATGACAGAGACCAGGCAGAAGCTAATCACTCAGAAGGAGGCCTCTCACTGGCTTATGTGTAAATCCCTTAGTCTCCTTATCTGGCAGGTCTGTCTAGGCATCCAGGACAGAGACTAGAATGACTATATAGTGGGGTCCCTGGGAGGTTCAGAACAGTGGCTCTTTGCCAAAAAGTGTGAAAGTCTTTCAACAGTTTAACAACTGGTATGACAGGCATAGCCCTGGAGGAAATGTATCACAGTACTGTGGTGATTTCTGCTCTAGGGATGGACATAAGAGTAGTCAGGACAGTTTTTTTTCAAAGGGGAACATTGCATGTGGTGTTTCTCTGTTAAAAAAAGAAGTGAGAAATTCCATAAGCAGTCAACTGACATTAAATGCAAATTTTATAGGAATTCTACGTAAATATTATAGAGATGGGGAGGAAGTAGGAAGGCATAAGTAGAAAAATCATTTGCCTGATCTCATTGATTAGATACTCTGGAGTACCTACTTATTTAATTTAATTTTAATTTAATTTAGCTTTTTTGTGGTATTGGAAATTGAAGCCAGAGATTCATGCTTCTTCAGCCCTTGAAGTGTCTGCTTATTTTGAAAAAAAAAAAAAAAAAAAGAGAGAGAAGGGAAAGGAAATGAAGGCATAGTATCTTAACTACACTCATGAAATGGCACTATATGAACTCAGAATGTATGTGATAATATTTTAAAAAGTCTGTTCCCTGTTTTTTTTTTTTAGATTTCTTTATTGGAAAAGGCTGGATTTGGAGGTGTTCTTCTATATATTGATCCTTGTGATTTACCAAAGACTGCAAATATTAACTATGATAACTTCATGGTGACGCTGAATCCAGGAGGAGACCCTTCTACGCCTGGCTACCCAAGTGTTGGTAGGTTTGTTGCTTCTTATTCTTCTAAGTGTCACAAGAATTCAATTTATCAGGGCATGCTACCCAAGAGACAGTGAAGTGAATTAATTTTTAGCCACTTCATATTTTACAGTTTAGCTTCTTAGAATTGGAGACTGCCAACCTGTTGGAGTTAAGCTTTTAAAATAAATTATAATAGACTTTGTCTCAATAAATTATAACATTATAAACAGACTGCAAATATGTTTTATGTTACAATTGGAAAACTGATAGATCACCACCATGAGGGGAGGCCACTCCACGTAGGTTGGAAGCATGTACAAATAGTCCAGGACAGGAAATATCTGATGCTACTTTGGGGCAGCTGTGTTACTTCAAAGTGTGGAATCTAGAAGAATACATGGTTTGGTTAGTAAGTAAAAGGAGAAGATGCTAAGTCCTTGATCCACTTTGAGTTGAATTTTGTGTATGGTGACAGATAGGGGCTTAATTTCATTTGGTTATGGATTTCCAGTTTTCCCAGCACCATTTTGTTGAAGAGGCTATCTTTTCTCCAATATATGTTTTTGGTGCCTTTGTCTAATATAAGATAACTGTATTTATGTGGTTTTGTCTCTGTGTCCTCTATTCTATACCATTGATCTACAAATCTTTTTTTGTGCCATGCCATTTTGTTACTATAGCTCTATAGTATATTTTAAGGTCTGATATAGTGATGCCACTTGTTTTACTCTTCTTGCTAAGGATTGCTTTAGCTATTATAGGTCTCTTATTATTCCAATGAATTTCATGACTGCTTTTTCTATGAGAAATGTCATTGAGATTTTGATTGGAATTGCATTAAATCTGTATAGTGCTTTTGGTAGTATGGTTGTTTTGACAATATTAATTCTGCCTATCTAACCAAGGTAGATATTTCCATCTTCTAAGATCTTCTTTAATTTCTTTCTTTAGGATTATGTAGTTTCCATTGTATAGGTCTTTCACTGCTTTTGTTGATTCCCAAGTATTATTATTATTTTAAGGATACTGTAAATGGGATAGTTTCCTCATTTCTCTTTCAGAGGATTTATCACTGATATATAGAAATGCTTTTGATTCATGAATGCTGATTTTATATCCTGCTACTTTACTGAATTCATTTATTAGTTCTAGAAGTATTCTCGTGGAAGTGTTTGGGTTTTCCATGTATAGAATTATATCGTCAGCAAATAGTGCTACTTTGAGTTCTTCTTTTCCTATCTGTATCGCTTTAATTTCTTTTGTCTGCCTAATTGCTCTCCATAGAGTTTCAAGAACTATATTAAATGGAAGTGGTGAAAGAGGGCATCTCTATCTTGTTCCCGTTTTTAGAAGGAATGCTTTTTTCTCCATTTAGAATGATGTTGGCCTGGGGCTTACCATAGATAGCTTTTACAATGTTGAGATATGTTCCTGTTATCCCTAGTTTTCTAGTGTTTTGAACATGAAGGGTGCTGTATTTTGTCAAATGCTTTTTCTGCATCTATTGAGATGATCATATGATTTTTATTTTTAAGTTCATATGTGATGAATTACATTTATTGATTTCCCTATGTTGAACCAACCTTGCATCCCTGGGATGAACCCCACTTGATCGTGGTGCACTATCTTTTTGATATATTTTTGTATTCAATTTGCCAGAATTTTAGTGAGAATTTTTACATCTATGTTCATTAGAGATATTGGTCTGAAGTTTTCTTTCTTTGATGAGTCTTTCCATGGTTTTGGAATCAAGGTGATATTAGCCTCAAAGAATGAGTTTGAAAGTGTTCCCTCTTTTTCTATTTCATGAAATAATTTGAGGAGTATGAGTATTAGTTCTTTTTCAAAGGTCTTGTAGAACTCAGCTGTGTATCCATCCAGTCCTGGGCTTTTCTTGGTTGGTAGACTTCTGATGGCATCTTCTATTTCATTACTTAAAATTGATCTGTTTAAATCATGTATATAATTTTGGTTCAGTTTGGGCAAATCATGTGACTCTAGAAATTTGTGGATGCCTTTGGTATTTTCTATTTATTGGAGTACAAATTTTCAAAATAATTTCTAATTATTGTCTGAATTTCTATAGTGTCTGCCATGACATTTTCATTTTCATTGAAGATAGTAGTAATTTGAGTTTTTTCTCTCCTTCTCTTCATTAGCATGACTAAAGGTTTATCAATTTTACTTCTTTTTTTAAAGAGCCAACTTTTTGTTTTGTTAATTTTTCAGTTGTTTCTTTTGTTTTAATTTCATTGATTTTAGCTCTAAGCTTAATTATTTCCTGTCTTCTACTGCTTTTGGTGTTGATTTGTTCTTCTTTTTCTAGGGATTTGAGATGTAATGTTAGGTCATTTATTTCTTGAATGTTCTGCTCATGGTTTCTTACCATCTTCACTGTGTGATCTACATTCTTTTCAAAATTATATATTTTGATTTCATTGTCTGAAGTCCTGTCTTCCAGGTTATCTATATTCTGTTGTTTATGCTTTCTATTGAGCTTTCAATTTTGTTCATTGTTTCTTTCATTGCAAGAATTTCTGTTTTTTTTTTATTTCAATATCTCTAATTGCTTTCTTTTGCATCCTGTACTTATGTAGCTCTTTACTGAAAAGATATTTGCTGCCTGTATTTGTTCTCTTATATCATCCTTTAATTTACAGAACATTTTAATAATGTACATCCTGAACTCCTTCTCTGTAATTTCTTCTGTTGTTTTAGCCATAGATTCTAATAATGTAGTACCTTGATTTGTTTAGGACACTTTTTTCTTTTCTTTTTTTTTTTTTTTCATGTCGATCCTGTGTCTTTCCTTCTAGCACTGCAGATCTGAGGTGTTACAATTTTTATGCTTTAGGCTTATAGTGCCCCTGCAGGGTTCCAGTACCTCTCCTTGAAGGGGAAAACAATGTTAACAGATCCCAATACAACCAATATATAACCTAAAACTAAATGGTTGCTATTAAGGCATTTTAAGGCATTCACAGTTTTGTCACAATATACAGAAATGGTGAGTTCAATTAATTTCTACAATATAAACAGTAGGTTTGCAAAAGTGTTTACAGTTGCTGGTGGTGGATAAAGAACCTGGGTGAGGTGTAAAATGAGATGTTGAGGGGGTAGGAGGTGAGGATATAGAATTGTTAGATTTTAGGAAGTATGAGAAAGTTGAGTAGTAGCAGGGGAAGAGAAAGGAAATAATTTTTGGGAGAGAAGTAAGTGGGAAGACAATAGAATATGTAAACAAATACATATAAATATTAAAAGAAATTAAAAATGTTAAAATAGGAGATAAACAAATATATAACACAACCATAATATATTATTCAGACATCCCAGTCCTCGGTATCCTAATATATGCCAAGTACTTGGTTTTTGCAAATGTTGGGTATGTGTGGGTGGGAGAATAGAGAGGGAAGAAAAAAAAGTCTCTAAGGAAGAAACAAGGCTTGTTTTGGTTGGAGTTCAGTATCTTTCCTGCTTCCCTTCTCATCAAATAGGTGATGATTTCTGTTATTTTCTGGTATCTTCATACTCAGGATATTGAAGGTTACCAGGGTAAAAGGGTTGGTCTTGGGTGCACAGCACCTGGAATTGGGGTATGGCACCAGCTCTTCCTGATAAAAGACTGCACCTCAAGGATCTCCTTTGGGGCCCACTCATGTGATATAGGTGCCTAGTCTTATCTCCTTGTATTACCTATAGACCTTAAAGTTCCTGGTCTCTAATTTAGTCTCTAAACTGTATCTCACTCACCCCTCCCTTTCTACTTCCTAATCTAGGAGCTTTCTCTCAGCAGGTCTTATGGGTTGCACTCTAGGGGCTGCACACCTGTCATGGAGAGCTATTTTATACTAGGCAGTCACTGTGCAGGGTTAGTGGCTACAGGGAGAGCGGGGAGTTTTTGACTATGGATACCTGCCCAGTTGGTGATCCAACCTGGGAGTTGCCACAACTAAAGATGGTGACAAATATATCCCAAGATGGAGGCAGCGGCCTTTAGTAATGGGGTGTCAGGTCAGGTTGTGGGGGGCGACAGGCAGTGTTATTGGGTGATATGTTCAAAGATGCAGCTCAGACCCAGTGCAGGCTCCATTGGTGTCAGTGGGGCTTCTCTAAGCTTGTCTGTGCTCTGTGCTGGGTTGACAAGTCTGTCCTGGACCTGCCTCTGCCAAAAGTAGGTGTTTTTAAATCAAGAATTTGAATGTACTCTTCCGAATACATAATCCAAATGGATTCTCTAGATGAAACACAAGAACTCCATAGGAAGCTCTGCTCAGTCAGTCTCATTGCCTAGCCAAATAGCTCTCAATTGTTATGGAACCAGAGTGAAGAGGAAAATGTTTCCAAGTAACATCTGTCCCCATAAACAAGAAAAAAAAAATGCTGGGATCATTCTTTTAACAAAAGCAAGTCTTTGGATCTATTGAGCATGTTAAGTAGTCTGAACCTTATTTTCTTCATAATAAAAAGGAAGGTTATACTGTAACAGTATGTACTTCACAAGATAATTTTCACAGAAGCAAAAAAAACTTGAGTTACATCTCAGACTTAAGTAGGAATTCTGAAGGAGGGGCCCAACTGACTGTGATCTAGCGTGGACTCCAGGTGGCTCTGATGCCACTTAAATATTAGGGAATTGGAAGTTTAATTGGAATTTGTCTTAATTTCCTTGATAATTTATCCAATATTTCAAATATTACATCAGTATATTAAAGACTTTATTAGAACCATGTAGGGGAGGGGGAAAACCCCACAATTTTGTCCCATATCATCTAAATTTTCTTACTAGGGCCCTACAAATTACACTGAAATATAAATTAACAACATAAAAACAGTTTACTGGCACATGCAGCAATACATAGTTGTAGGCGGAATTCTGTGGTGAGGAACTCAAAAGAGTGATTAGGATTTGAGGTTCATATAAGATCTTAATAAAATACAGTTAAAGAGAGGTAATGGGACACAGGAAAAAGGGTATAAACTTTCATAGGGGGCAAATGGTAGAAAGAAAAATACAT